TGGCCCGCCCATTCCAGCACACTTTTTTTAAATGTATACAAAAAAGTGTGCTAAAAGTGTGCTCTTTATAACGTCTATTAAAAAAAGTGTGCTCTTATAATAATTATGATATAATCAATTGTATTTGGGCGGGCCAGAATCACGGCTGGCCCGCCCATTTCAGCTACAGATCTATAAACCATACCAAAAAACTGTGCTGAAAGTGTGCTCACAGGAATCATTAATAAAAAAAAGTCTGCCGCCCCCGTTACTATACAAACAATCCCTAAATGGTAAGGGTAATAAATGACCCAGCCCGCCCATTTCAGCTACAGATCTATAAACCATGCCAAAAACTGTGCTAAAAGTGTGCTCACAGGAATCATTAATAAAAAAGTGTGCCGTCCCCTTTACTATACAAACTAACCCCTAAATGGTAAGGGTAATAAAATGACCCAGCCCACCCATTTCAGCTACAGATCTATATACCATGTCAAAAAACTGTGCTGAAAGTGTGCTCACAGGAATTATTTATAAAAAAAGTGTGCCGCCCCCGTTACTAAACAAACAAACCCTAACTTGTAAGGGTAATAGAATGACCCAGCCCGCCCATTTCAGCTACAGATCTATAAACCATGCAAAAAAACTGTGCTAAAAGTGTGCTCATGGGAATCATTAATAAAAAAAGATTAATTATTTGTTGATTAACGCCCATTTAATTGATTTAGCACACCCTAATTTTGCAAAGGAATTGTAAGCCAATAACTTAGATGATTATTATAGAAAAGAATAAAAGGTCTCAATAAAAAACTTAAGAAAAAGACTGCATTTTACTGGAGACCAAACCCTGACTTTCCTATGCTACAGGATACAAACAAGAACATCAAACTTGGAATCTTAAAAAATGGACACGACCCAAGATTGAAGATCGTTAAAATTGGAGAAAATCCTATTTTACTGTCTAATACATGTAGTTTTGATGCGCCATGTCAAACATTTGCAACAGCATATTGTGATAGCCCTCTTTACAGAGAAAGAATAGATAGAGTATGGATGGGGGAAGTCCATTTTTACTATTTTACTAGTTGCGAAGAACATTGCCAAATCAGGCGTTACTTGAGGGGCTTACAGAATGAGAGCTGAAATTCTTCTGGACACAATTCCACCAACCATCCTGAAAGGGGCAGTGATGAAACTGAACTGTGAAATGGACTCATCTGCTCTTTTACGTAAAATGAATTTATATCCTTCCTTAAGAGAAACATACAATTGTTCATCACCATATTGCCCTGGAAGAATAAGAGTCAACAATGTGGTAGTAATTTCTGCAAGAATATCACCAACGAACAACCTGCTGGGATTGCAAGAAGCATTGATTGCCAGTGACCCAAGCACAGAAACGTATTGCTCACAAATAATTCCAGGCACAACCAATATTCCTCCTGAATGTTTTGTTGTTGACGAGGACATGACCAAGCAGGTAAGTCCACAAAAATGTGTTTTAAATTAATTATGGTAGGCTATTTACAATTTCGAATTACTACAACAATTTGTCTTTATGCCTGTAATAGGTATAAAAACATGAATTAGAAACATTAACTGGTAGGAAAATATAATTTTCACTACACTGTGATGTTTTTAGCTGTTTTACATACGTTAATTGGTGGGTTTTGCTGGCCATGCAAGGTGTCATCATTATTTGGGGACCAAACAACTGGTGTTTATACCTCCGAAAACCAGGTGCCCGCATACTTTCATGAAACATTAATGCATACAATTATACCTTTGTGATTAAATTCATTTTACTACCATTGTGGATAATATACATTATTTCTTATTAATTTCAGGGTGCGCTATGTTCGGGTATTCGGACCCGAGAGGTTCAGTCTGGGCCCCACTTAATAATTGAGGTCTTAAGCGATGAAGAGAGGTTTAACTAAGGTCATCGTACAACTCCCAAATATTGTCACTTCTTAATGCTAATGATGTGTAGTGTCCCACGTGATTGTCGTTTGCAGGAGGTATGAACACGACGACTCCTCTAAGTGTGAATGTTCTATCAGAGTACCGTATTTCTTTTTTGATGTCATCCAGGGAGCATTTCACGTTTGTTAACACCCCTACATCCATTCCACCGTTGTTAAACCTCTCTTTTTGGTATGGTTTACAGATCTATAGCTGAAATGGGCGGGCTGGGTCATTTTATTACCCTTACCATTTAGGGGTTGTTTGTATAGTAACGGGGGCGGCAGACTTTTTTTATTAATGATTCCTGTGAGCACACTTTCAGCACAGTTTTTTGGTATGGTTTATAGATCTGTAGCTGAAATGGGCGGGCCAGCCGTGATTCTGGCCCGCCCAAATACAATTGATTATATCATAATTATTATAAGAGCACACTTTTTTTAATAGACGTTATAAAGAGCACACTTTTAGCACACTTTTTTGTATACATTTAAAAAAAGTGTGCTGGAATGGGCGGGCCAGCTTCACGGCACTCACTACAGTAGTGTTATATAGTCAATGCACAGGACTAAGTAAGTGCAAGAAAATCGATACTACAAAATCTACTATCTATCACAAATCCTAAATAGGCTACTATTCTACAAAAAATATCCATAGACAAATCAAGTAACAAATAAGTATACAAGATTCAACAGGTAATTCACAAAGTAATTTAAATAGAGGTAATAAATATATAGTTGTAACATTTTCACACACTGACACACTAACATTTAATTATTGTACCTACACTCCAAACTGCAAAGAAACAATTTCAACCGTATTAGCTTATTAGGCCTAGACTGTAAAATTCCAAATCATCTAAATTAGGCTTTATAAACTGTTTTCAAAGAAACAGGTCCAGCAGATTAAAGAAGAAAAAATTTGTTTCCAACTACTAGTGAATAACTATTAATTTAGGCTTGTTGATTTGTTTAATTTTGAAATAGGCTTTTACTTAATTAGTAATAGTTTTCGACTAGCATTAAATTCCTACATTATATTAAAATTAGAACATCAAACTGAATTATTGGGTAATATTAGATGTTATTATTGCCATACTAAACACCATTGTAAAGTCATCACAAACGCTCATTCGTTAAATAGGTTTTACACACTGTTTTATTTTCAATGTTGCATGTAAGAACAAGTGTGAACTGAGACTATAAAACCAGGTGATAGTGTGTGGTATGAATCGGTACTTTGGTATTATCCACTTATTTTAGAGGGATTTTTTAAACGGAGACCAAAAATAACTACATGATTGGAAAGAAGATATTTTAATTGACTTACTGTCCAAATTTGACATGATTACCATTAGCGGCCTTCTCCCCCTCACAGAAGAGTTCTGCCTCACAGAAGGCAGCGATGTCAGCGAGAATTGAGTTGAAACGGAAGCCACCCTTATACAGCGTGCTGCAGCGGTTATGGTAGGTTGGGTTATCATAAATATGTTTGTAGGTCTTTCCTCGTTATTAATATTTACAAATATTTTGTCCTTAAATAATAAAGAAGTAAAAATTAATTTTTCCTACAGTCACCCGACAAAGTTGGCTTCCTTGTACTGTTTATAGTACAGAAAGCTGCTAATTGCTGCATATTTATACTTTGCCGTACGGTTTATACTTTGCCGTACGGTTTATACTTTGCCGCACATCAGGATTCCAACGAAACAACACAAAACAGCGTGGTTCCATTATGCACGTAATCCGTGTACGCTTGGAAATAGGTTGGCAACACTTAAAGATAATTATACTATGAGCAGCTGATTGACTATTATAACTACGATTTAACCTGTCATTTCGTGTTTATAGTTTCGGTATTTCTGAACTTTCTGGACTTTTCTTTTAAACGTTTTTAAAACCTTCCTACGATCTTAATAAACAAGAAAATACCTTTTAAGCATTTTTTTTTAGGCGCGGAAACCACTTCAAATTACAAAAACATACGGAACTATATTATCAAAACGCGGAGCACATTTCTTGCCGAGGAAAAATAGCGGAGTGATATGGACCGCGGGTACTACTTTCTCTAGGGCACCATTTGTGTTGCCAGCTGAACCTAAAAACGTGTTGCATAGTGTTTGAAAGACTAATTATTTATATGCTTTATAGTGACTGTAGGAAAAATATAATGTGTAACACGAGTGAAAAAGGCCTTTGCTGCACTCGAGATCATTCCACACTCGCCTGCGGCTCGTGCGTAAACATTGCTCTCGTGTGCAGCAAAGTGCCACTTTCACCACTAGTTACACAAATAACTATTAAGACGCGTAAAATTATGAAAATTTACTAATATTTTGTAATCTACAACTTGTAACTTAGTATTTTCCTGTTATGAAACAGAATATTAGTCTTGTAATTTGTAAAACTGATATTCTGCTTCATAAGAAAATACCAATTAACAAGTTACAAGTTGTAAATTACAAAATATTAGCAAATTGCCATAATTTTACAAGTCTTTTGTTTCATAATCTTTGTCTGCTAATAAACATCCATTATGTGAACCAAATGGACCATTGACTTTGGATACTGCAAGTAGACTACCCAAAAAATTGCATTACGTTGCATTGACTTTGGCAAATTAATTTTATATTAATTTTGTAATCAACCTTGACACCTTTAATATTTTTACTACGGGTAAGATGTTACTTACTTTTGCCGGAAGGTGTCAAATGTAGTTCATGCTGTACATGTTTCGAGCTACTTACAGCTCATCTTCAGCAGCATTCTTGTACTTCACATCGAACGATGTTTGTCGACTATTTACAGTTTATAAACACACACGCACACACAGAAATAAACATAGAAGGTGTTTTGCAATTGCAAGTTTTTAAACATGTTTGCTTAGGTACAGTTAGACAACCTTGACCGAGCGATGTTTGGAGGCCTACAAATGTTGCCCGGTCGAGGTTGTCTAATCGTGCATACGCAAACATATTTTAATACCTGCAATTGCAAAACACACTCTATGTTTTTTTTCTGTCAGAAAGGGATTTATCCACAAAACAAAACACAAGGTAATCAAAACAACTTTATTACACAATATACAAGGTGGTAAAAATAAAAGTAGAAATGCAAATCCAAAACCTTAAGGCAGTCTTGTGGAATGACTCGTGTAGTGAGAGTTGTGACGTCAGTTGCATCATTTTGATGCGACGTCGTGGCATCGTAACATGTTGGGATGGCGTCGAGCATGCCGGTTACACTTTTTCAGCTCCGGTTGTAACCATTTTGCTGTTGATCCAGGACATAGTCTGAATAGCAAAAGCCTGAGTGGTGTTTAGAGCCTCCAGAGTAACTCTCTGAAGATTTTCTGGAGAAAATTTTCCCCTGAAAAAGAATTTTCAAGACAATGTAAATTTTGAATTTGCTATTTTTTTGTAATTTATTGCTACAGAATTACATTAGAACATTAAATAAAATAAGATTTACAGTTAGCATCCTGAATATGATACGCTGAAGGTAAGGTTGGGGTTTGTTTGTGTAGTAATGTGAAACTGAATTGGTATCTTATTCTCATTATGGTAATAGGTTATTTTGATTACTTAAAATATTTGACCAAATAAAGTGTGTTTTCTTTCCTAAATTAAAGAATAATACAAATTATATTAAGACCAAAGGTGAAGATTTTGGAAAGCAAATGTTATATCAGCAGAGATTAATAATTATTTTGTATTTGTGCAACAAGAGTGGTTTGATGTGAAGCACAACGTGGGACGTGGGAGTTTAATGTTTGGCTCCTCATCCAGTACTATGGCAGCACAATAATGCTATGCTACAATTTTTTCGGTTGTTGTTTAGTGACTATGTCAGTGTAATTTTTGGAATAAAAATCATAAACATATTTAAGGAAAAGTGGTCCAAATTCCAAAATTTGTTAGTGCATGTCGAGAGGCTGGAAACTGAACTTCTACTATGGTTGAATAATGATGACTTGAAAGAGCTGTAGGTTCAAGCATGGACAACACGCCATGCAATGTAGGATGCAGAACTGTCCTTTAACATCAATGGATTATTGTATGTGAACGCTTGTTTGTCAATGCCAATATAAGCCTCAGACATTGGAAGACTATTGTTTATGTACTACAACATGGGTTTAGGAAGGGATTTAGCACAAACACAGCAATAGCTAAGCTATGCAAGGACATAAATAGCATCTGGGAAGGCAAAAAAAGTGCAACAGGGATTTTTCTAGACCTGCAAAAGGCATTCGATAACTTAGACTGGAATATTTTTATGAGCAAACTGCAAAAACTAAACATTACAGACAAAGCCCAGCGTTGGATTGTAGACTACCTTACAGACAGACTCCAGTTTGTAGAAATTCAGCACCAGCAGAAAAACACTGTTTCAAGCATTAAGTCAAGTTTGAGGAAGACTACCAGAGGCGTTCCACAGGGCTCGATAGTCGGTCCACTGTTTTTCCTGATTTATATCAACAGCCTACCAGAATCATTCAACGGCAACATAAATTGTATATTGTTTGCAGATGACACAACCATAGTAGTACCCACCAACCATCATATTGACAATAGTAACCTAGTAAACTCAACAATTGACAGCGCAACCACTACGTGCAATTCTATGAAACTTAACATCAACAAATCTAAGACTGTCCTCGTAAACTTTACTCCTAACAACAAAAACGAATCTGGTGGCAATTGGCATGACCTCAGCATACCCCTATCACGCTCAACAAAGTTCCTCGGAATATATGTCGATCAACATCTCAGCTGGCAGGACCACGTTGACTACCTCTGTGGAAAACTATCTTCTGCACACCACGTTGTTCGAAGAATTAGAGCCATCGCCAATGAAACTACAGCATTAATAGCCTACCACTCCCTCTTTTGTTCACATTTGCGTTATGGGATTGCTGCATGGGGATCCACAGCGGACAGGAACATGGAACGCATCCTCACCATCCAAAAGAAGACCATAAGGACAATCTTTCAACTGCCAAATCATGAACACTGCAAGCCGATCTTCAGAGAACACAAAATCCTTACAGTTATATCCCTGTACCTGTTGGAATCCATCACACTTGCAAAACAATCGACACCTACCCTGAGATCAGAACAACATTCATACAACCTCCGCAACACACATAACATAGACCTGCCACAACATCGATTGCAGAAATTCAACAATAGTCCTCACTACTCTGGCTCTTACTTCTTCAATTTATTACCACCACAACTCAAAACCATCAAAAAACCTGTCACCTTCAATAGTAAACTAAAACAATACTTAACAGATAGGCCATACTATACAGTCTTCGAATTTATTGTGGAGCACACTTTCCAACACCTGAGACGTGAATAGGCCTACAAACCCATCATTCCCCTGAAGTTTGATCAGGAAGAAGTTTGACGATTCCCCGATCCCTGGATTGTGGAGAAGACACCGGATGGTAAATGGTGATGGTAAATGGTACAGCCTCAAAGGGATTTTCAATGTACAGAATCAAATTCATAAATTGGGCATCTCTTTGCAACTATTCTTAATAACTAATGGCATTAAATTGGCATTTCAACAAAGCGGACACGGATACAAGTTTTTACATTCTGGTTAAGGGAACATTTAGTGAAATTCAATATACTCCAACGTTACTTATCACGACACACGACCCAAAAAATCTTAATCTTAAACTAGGATGAAATGCTTGAATACTTCACATACTTCAAGTCAATTACAATTTGCTCTACATACATGGTGAAAATTGAAATTCCAATAAAGTGAGTACTTACACAAAAACATTCTCTTTGAGCCATTCGGCTGATACAGAGAGATATTTTAACGCCAAAGTTCCAGCTTGGAGCCCGTAATGTTTGATGAGTTCCCAGCAGTTGTGAGCCCAAACCGTGACAGTCTGTGCAAGTCCTGGCGCGTACTGGTTAACCTGCCAAACAGATGTACAAGGTAGTAACTGTTCTATGAAATTGACTATTCATTAAATTTGTTGGTGTTTCAACACTTGAAACTGGATCCTCAATAACCCAGCGGTTGAAATTTTTTGGTGAATTTGTTACAGAATTTCTACTCAAGTTCCACTTTAAGCTTCCGGCTACACAAGAGTAGACAGGAAACGAAACAACACAAATTTCAGACAGGACATAGAAAGGAAACTGTCAGGAATAACTTTGCAGACTTGAAACCAACACACGAGGGTCATGCATATTTGACAATTTGAGCGCTAGCCACTAGCTCAGCCAGTACAATAATCACAAATTTTTTATAGAATAAAGTTGGCCATGTATTTTGTTCAATAAGTTAAATATATGTATTTCTATGTTATGATGTTTGAAATTAAGTATTCATAAGCCAGATATGAAAAATGTGCTATATTATGTCTCAGTTTTAAATTCCGACTTTCTTAGTGAATTTTCCATACATGAAATATTCTATTACCCTAGGTCTCATGGAAAGACCTGGTCCCGAGACCAATTTACTACTTGGTTTGGTTTGATGTACCTGTAGGCCAAAAACCCATCTGTTAAAAATCATCCTCTATCACAATAACTTGAGTTAACATTATTTGATTTTGATGAAATTTTGGCATAAACGTGTCAGGCTATATTTATTTTTGAACGGGTTCGCAATCCAGCATGATTGAACCATGGGGACAGGGTTTTATGGGGGTTTAAGAGGATAAAAATAGTTTTTCCCCATTTTTGACATTCAAAACATAAAACTTTGCTATTTCCTCCAAAACCTTTAAGGTAGAGCTTAAAAACGAATAATTTTCTATATACAGTTGAACCTCTATAAAACGAATTTCAAGGGGTACGGGAAAAATTCGTACTATAGAGGTATTCTTAATAAAGAGGGTCGTTTTATCAAGGTTTAATGCTGCTGTTATTCTTCTTATAGAGGTTTCTCCAAACAATGACTGAGGAAGGAGGAGGGATGGGTGGTGGTTTCTTGTTGAGACAAGCTTCTGTTTGTTTTGAAAACTGCGTACTATGAAGGTTAAGATTATGATAAATTAGTCTTATAGAGGTCACGTTCGTCTTGTAGAGGTTTTGTGCTAAGAATATTCGTTGTATAGAGGTTAATCAGTCCTAACCCATGTCACAAACAAATTCGTCTAATGGATGTTTTTAACTTAATTACTACGTTGTATAGAGGTGTTTTTTAGCATTGACATATGTGAAAGTGTCAAGGGGATTAAAAAAAATTTGTCTTATCGATGAATTCGTTTCAACGAGGTTCGTACAAACGAGGTTCAACTGTAGAAGAGATTTAGTATGATTAATGGATACATTTTTAACTTAACATCCTTCTGATCTACATTACGCTAAAAAATCTAAGTGTGTTATGCTGTACTTTTACTATGGTACACAATCCATTGAGATATTATTCCAAGACTTGTTTAATGTAAAAGAAAACACTATGCGTGTCGTGTTTGTAATAATTTAGACTAAGTTAATAAAATTTAGTTCAGGTTTGTACCTTTAACTTACTGCTAAGTTCAGCCTGGATTAAATATACTTATAGCAAGACAAATGATTAAGCTGAAGAATTTCTTAACAATAAAAATTTAATGAACTAGGAATAAGATATATTACAATGATGAATGGGATTTTAAATGAACAGATAAGTTAAGTTACAGGGTCGCCATCTTTGGTTTAGCCTAGCTCAGTAAAAACATAACAATGAGTTTACAATTTAGTTTAATTACATAAATCCCAGGGAGGGGAACTCGGCTGGCTAAAAAGATCTTCAAATATTTAATTTATGAAATAAAATATGTCAATTATTATGAAAAATGGGATAATTTTGATATTGCTCTTAGGCTTGGATAGGTAAATTAAATAAGTCCAACGATGAATAGACTAGGTGAAAAATTTATCAAAGTTGAATTTAGGTCTATTGTTCAAATGGTTTTTCTGGGATTATTCTTGATGAAAATAAAGTAGTTTTTGAATTCAAATTATTAGGTTCGATGATCAGAAAGTAAATAAAATAGGTCTATTAAGTTGAATTTCTTGAAGGTAGGCTAAGCCTATACAAAATGGAGAGTTCTCACCAGATCTTCAGTAATAGTGTCCAATTTATATAAATCTCGAGGTGGCAGTACAATTTTGAAATGAAAAAAATGTATATATAAAAGCTAAACTGTTCTTCTGTTATTAAGTTAATGTTCAGTTAAATAATTTTAATCAATTTGACTTTTTAAAATGTTAGGGATTATACCCTCACTGAATTTAAGGTGTTGATGCTGCCATGTCCCAACTGAGAAGGAGGAAAATTTTTATTTCACACAGGAAGATCAAAGTTCATTGTTGAAGCCAGCTGTCTTCTTTCTTCATCACTTACACATGCACTAATAATCAGGCTTTTGGATATTAATTTAATGTTGGGGTTTTAGAAATAATTTATACTATATTAATAATTTTGGATAAAAGTGTTATTGCAACTATGGACTTAATTACATGTTACAGGTTTTTATTAACAATAATTGTTGAATATATACAATATATTTTAAAATGTGATGATGGTTTCTGAGGGGTGATTAAAGGATAATATAATTTAAATTTGCTATGAATTTTCTGACAATTTAGTTAAATAGGCTATATGGCGAATTTTGGTACAATAAAAGAAGTAGAATTATATAACTAAAGAATGAATGTAGTGAATGGTCTAAAAATGACATGTAACATTGCAAATGACAGTTTATCTAGCCAATAGTGGCATGGAAACCGCACAGTTGATAATAGCCACTATCGGAAAGCTGTACACTCACCCATTGCTCCACGACTGGTTTCTTGTCCACACAATATTGAACAGCAGCTCTGGCCGCAGCCATCACTTGTAGAGAGAGAGACGTCACTGCGTCTACAGCAACTGACACATACGGACCCAGCAGTTCCCTGGCCTTGGCGGTGTATAGAGGCACGTTCACTTCACTCCATCTGTAATAATCGTACACTTCTTAAGGGTGCGCTCTACCCGTCTGGCACGAGCAAATGTAAGGGTTTTAGTTCTTCCTGATTGTAGCCCCAAGTGTGAACCGATTTAAAAGATCTTGGTGTCATATTTTTCGTTAAATGTTATTGTAGGTTTCCCGTTTGTTTAAATTTTGATAATTTAGAAAATGTTGGGCTCAAAGGTTGGTGAAAAATGTAAAAATAGGCGTTTTTTATCATGAGTTTTAATACATTAAAATAATTTTTAGAGAAAAAATAAAAAACGGGAAACCTGCAATAGATTCTTAAAAACAAGAACCTGGAATTAGTTTACTAAAAAGTTGAATGATAACTATGTAAACACGCAGACTCGAAAGGCTTGCAAGCGCTCTTCAAGGCGCCGTGCAGTGGCGCGGCCATGCGGCCAACGGCTCAACCTGTCGTCGGCTCTCCCACCACAGCCATCGATCGATATTTCCCCTCCTCTCAGTTGATCTGTTCTATCTTTGCGTCGTCGCCGTTTTTACACATATGAGTATACTGTCCTCTTTGTAAACAGTTATACTCAGCCAACGCAACTTGCTTGCACAGATACAGCTTTAAAACTTTACCAAAATATAAGTTTGTTTATAAACGTCGGGTATGAGATTGTTGTAATAACAACCATAATAAAAGTGTTTTAAGAAAACCAGTACTCAATAGTAGGCCTACTGTATTAAAACAGCATTTTTAAATTTTTGTAATTAACCCCTCCAAGTTGGGGACTTGAATCTGATACCTCAAATGTTCTAGCTAGACTATTGACCACTCACCCATTCAACTTCAAGTTCAAATTCACTACAAGTCATAACACGGGTCTACAAATAAAATACCCTGTCGCAGCAAAACTATTCACTAAGCGAATTTCAACTTGTATGATTACAGTATTTTTTACTAAAATATTTCCATAAGTAAGACAAACTTATTCCTATTTAAATAACATTAGATTTAACGAGTGCTTAGGTTTGCTGCTACGGGGAAGGTAAAGTTAGTGGAATTAAATGTGGAATGAAGTATTTTTATTTATTTAGTTGACATTGATTGTCAACTGACATTGAGTATGAACTGTTAGTTGTCAACTACACTAGTGCACAACGTACGCAATTAGTCAAGGTCAGACCATGGTATAATACTCTACTGGATAGCGCGCTGTGTGGTGGAAAAACGGTCCGTGCCCACCAGTCGAATTGGTAGGATACCGAGGCGGACGGGCCGAATGAACCTCTGTCTTTTACACGAACATACTTTCACTCAACCTGCCCTGCTTCACTTATTTGCCGACATAAAAATTTCAAATTTTTATTTTTATTTTCTGGAAAAGACAGTGATTCTTACTTGTATAGTTTGTTTTAACCTAAACATATTTTTTATAATTTATTTGGGCAAATTAAAACTGATGATCGTTTTTTAAAACAACTAAAAACATGAAAAATGTAGTAAGCGAGGAACTTTTTTATTTTTTGGTCAGGAAAAAAATTCCTGCGTCATAGTTTTAGATTAAAGTATGAATTTTATTTTTTATATGAAGCTTTTTTTGATACGGAGTTTGCTTGTATCATTTTTAAGCGATTAAAAATGGGCATAAAATCGCTTGGCGCGGCATTGGCGCTAGGAGCTCAGCCGGCTACTGTCAGGGAAATAAATTTGTGCACTCGAATTTGAGCCTAAATATCTCTTAGATGAATTATCCGAGTTTGTTGAAAAAAAATAAAATATAAGCTGGTTTAAATAAATTTTACGTGGTAATAACGAAAAAAAATCTGTTTACCAGAAAAATGTATATAGTTGAAAGATCCTAAAAAGTACCGGTTTTTAAGAAACTCTGCACCAACACTGAAGTTTAAAATTTAATTGTAAACAAATAACTGAGCCAATCTTTCTGAAATTGTTATGGCTTACTGGTAGGTTTGTTGTTTACATTTCCATGCATTGTAAAATTTTTACTCGCAATAGTTTTTATGCTGCTGTTAATTTTTAAAACGTATGCTAACATCGTTAATAAGACGCTAAAAATTCCATTCAAAATACCATCTTGTTTGTCGTGACACAAGAAATAACACCACTATTACAGATTTATAGCGCGAACAAAGGTGTTTTTTAAACAGATTTATATTTGTAAACAAAAATGTCTCCCGCGACTGGCAGCGGGTGCTTGTACATAGTCTGGTGTTTGTACGATATTTAGGCATCAGTTTAGGCCTACGGGATTTAGATACTCAGTTTCTCGCATTTAATTATCATAATACACATTAAATACGTCATTACATTATGAAGGATGGGTAACTAAATTTACAAGCGTATGTTGTAGCGTATGTATGTAATAGGTTGCTATGACGTTATTTGCGAGATAACATTAAAAAGGTAAACAAGACTCGCCACGTATGTTAGTCAACGAATCGTCTAAAAAGTGGATTCTTTCTTTATGTGATAAAAGATACTTTAAAAATGAAATTTTCATATCACCATTGCCTTTTTTGTAAACATTAATTACATAATTATAATCCCCAAGAATATGATACCGACTGATTCTGTGCCCATTACGGTGTAGCTACAGTTGGAATAGAGTTAAATAATAATGAAAATCTTAAACATCAACAAAAGTAAATAAATAAATATAACAGTTGATTAAAAAAAACCTTAAGATTATTATAATTTAATGTAGTGATACTTTACAAAGTATAACTAAAGTATTTTTTTTTAATTCAATAACGAGGTGTTAGCCCGTCCTACGTACGGGAATTCAGTAGTCAGTTAATAAAACCGTGTACAATTCAGATCAGCTAGTTTACACATATAAAGACAGTTTCTTGTAAGTTTCTTGCAGTGTTAATGTGAAAAATCATCTTGTAATCAAATGTTGTGTGACCAAATATGTTTTTATTTCATCATAGGCCTATACGAAATGTATTTTAAATCCAATAATGTTACAAAAAAAACAGTAATTCTGCAATTTTTACGATGCAAAAAGAACGCTACGATGAAAAGCGTTGAAGTGAGATTTGCAGCCGATTCGCACAGACGCACACTGATTATAAGTTGCCTACAGTAGAGGGAGTAGTAGTCAATTGAGAAGTGTATAGACCTAGTCAACGATACCACCTTCCATAGCATACCTGCTTCTTCCATAATTATTATCACCACAATACAACTACTATACACAATTTCCAGTAGGTCTAAATAGAAAGACCTAAAATAAAACGATAATATCCAATAAAATTCACAGTACACATAATTTAACTTTGGTGTCCTAACATCAAAACTAATCGTCACACCTATCTTTTATATCAATTTCACTGCATTAATTGCTAAATAAATAAGCGTAAACAAAGAGAAGTAAAAACAATAACAGTTGGTTTTGAAACAGCTGTTCGGTTCAAATAACATTCATTTGAAAAAAAGAACTGGTCACTTATAGCAGGAATATAAAAAGTAAACACACTAGTAAAGCTAATGACGTAATTGTCAATGTTTATTATCCATACCGTTATCAGTTCTATCCTTGATAATTACCCACCCTCATTGAATAAATGTACATCGTAATTTCCCATATTAGTTAATTTAAACTACAATATTCATAGTTGAAATAAAAGTGATATTTTCACGTGGCCGCCGATACAGGCGCCCCCAAACGTAATCACAACTGAACACGATTTCATAAAAGGATGGTTTGTCTAATTGCAGTATCCTAGGTCAATGTTGACGTTGTGTTCAATCTATGTCAATCTTTCTTTGAAAAGTGTAGCAGTAAAATAATTTGCATTTATCCTTTTTTATTGAGACTCGTGTACAGAGCCTAGATTTGTACTGTAGTTTGATTAATTTTGGTTAAAACTGTGGTCTAATTATCTCTACTAATCTTACTTATTTCCTATAATCAATGACAAAATGAGTAAATAAAATAATTTCATAGTTCCATAGTTTATATTTAACCAGCTGTTAGTAAAAACAAATTATATTGCTCTAAAACAAATCGAAGATTACAAAGATTGCTTTAAAATATAATTTGAACATCCTAGTATTTTACTATGTATATTTAATTAATCTGTCATCCTCTTACAGGGGCCCATTTCATAATAAACTACAAGTTACAAGTTACAACATGTAACTTGTAATTTCCATTAGATTTGCATTGGGCTATCAGCTGATTAATTAATAATATTAGTTTGTACTTTATTATGAAATGGGCCCCAGAACGTATCAATGATTAGCATTACACATCGTATAAATAAGTCAACCCTAAGTATGTCTTTACATTTTTTATCCAAATGCTGAATTTGTGACACAAAAGCTGAATGTTTACAGCTGTTATGTTAAGCAAATTATTTCATGCCAAAAGCTAGTTTAGAATCTTAGCTTCGGCTGCTAGACTTTTTAAAAATTAAAACTTAATTTCTAAAAAACTGGGACCCTGAACTAAAATTATGGCTTAGACATTCCCTAGTTCTCAAAATTATCTTTCTTTCAACACAAAAATCATGAAAATCCGTCGAGTGGTTGATTCAGAATCGTGAAATAAAAAAACACTGTTTTGTTTTAATATTATAGATGACAAACAAGACTCAATATTTAGGAATGTTTTACTTTTTACTGTATAAGCTTATGGGAGCGATAGCGAACGTCACGTTGCTGCCAGTGAGTGTCGGTGGCAGGGCATGATGGAGGTTGAGCAAAAGCAAAAGATAAGCGGACGCGCGAACAAGAACCCGGTTGCGCTTGCGCGCGTGTGCGTCGGGAGCTCCGCAGGGCGAGTGCCTAGCGTAATAGTCAACTCGCGAACCTCCTAGCTCCTCCCACCACTTCCCCTCCAACTGGGTTGCACCGACACAGCGCAGTCTGGTGGACACTTCGAACATCGTTCTGAGATTTCCGAGCTGAGGTAGAGCGCACCCTTAATGGTGTTAGGACAACAAATGTACAAAATTGTATATCATCTGATTGACACAAAAACTATATCTGGCTACCAATCTCTCGAGCTAACTGTTGGCTTGACCTACAAATTTGCTTGCAGACTCCTAACAAAGACAACGATCTCTTACTAACTTTTGAACAGATCATGTGAACATGACTCAACAACAGTTTTCTATCCAACAGAATGCCAAGGAACTTTGTCCTTTCATTGTATACCCATCCAAATTGTATACTTCCTGATAGGTCGATTCACTCATCCCATCAACTTCTAAGTGAACTGTTTATTTTGAGAGGATCTCACATACCTGGTATATACATTAAGCAGGTGAACTCTTCACAAATAAAACACCATTACATGATTCTAAACTCTTTGTATACAAACTCCCTGCCTTCTGGCTCGGCGACTGCTGATAAGTACTAACAGTCAGCCATACTAATGACTCCAGTCAACCAAATGTGACAGTGTATGTTGTAGGCTAGTCTAAACAAAAAAGTTAAGTTCTTACCTGTAGCCTTGAATGGAAACTTCTTTTATTCTGTCAAAGGCTTGTTCACCGTACTTCAAAGCTCCAATGTCTTTCAGAAAGACTCCAGTTTTGGATGCTAAAATAACACATAATTAAAGGAAATTCAATTGTTTAAACTACCTATAAATTATTTAAGTACAGACAAAAGAATGCTTATTTTAAAGTAGATTAACCGTGTTCATTATCTAAATTTTGGTAATTAGAACTGTATAATTGACAGTATATTCTTATCTCATTGTAAGTATTAAGGCAGCCTTCTTCCATCCTATTGAAACACCAAAAAGACTACAAGAACACAATGAGTTGATAAATATTTCTTTAACACATTTGCTACCGCAATAGTACAAAAAATTTTCCATTCATCTAGACCAGCGACGTACATATACGATGGCCGGTTTCTCCCCATAGACTGCCGACGTATATATGCGGCGGCTAGTTACATTAAAATAGACTGACGACGCATATTTGCATCAGTGTTCCAATGTTATCAAAAGGCTTACATCTTTGTAACGGTCTATCTAAAGGCACCGAATTCTCTGCAGTGGTCCACAGGGATGTCTGACGCACAATTCATCGCTTTGTCTTTAGATTTGATGATTGGTGACATTATATGATAGTTGGAAAAACTGTTCTTTACTTTGCTGCATCACTGTATGTATGTATGCAGTAAGTTATGTATGTTGCAATATCATCTTATGTAGCTTTTATATTTGTTCAATTATAAACTTTTCTGTAATAATCTCTTTTTTTACTTACTTCCACATCAAAACACAAACAAAAATGAAGTGTCGCATATATGCGGCGTTTGGGTTATTCCAAGAAAAATATAATAATTTTCACTATTGTCTTCAATAGATTCTATAGACCGTTGTCTATTTATGTTGTTGGTTTTTGACCGTGGTCTGCATGTACTGTTAACCAAGTGACACCCGGTCTATGTGTAAGATTAAATTGTATACCATGGTCTGTGGCAATGATTGTAACGCTCGGTAGTGAATTTTTTAATACCTTGAATTGAAATCCTCTTAAATGGAACATAAAATACTCAACGATAGGCTTTGGCATAGGTATAGTTCTTAGATAAGCGACTATGGTAAGGTTTGTCTTTCTAATTTTGTTACAGGAGTTAAAAACATTATTAAATGCGTTCTTAAAAGTTTAGGCTCAGTAAACATCGGCTAGCTTCGCTAGGCCAACTTGTTTTCTTTTCACACTTGAGTAAGAGAGTTACTTAATTTGATTAGAAGTTTAATGTTTGTGTTATTTCTTATACTGTAAGAAACATGTTATGCGATTTTATTCTACAATTCATTTCAGACAAAAAGGATAAACTAAGGAGGAAAATACGGTTCTTACCTTTGAATCCGTTGTGAACTTTGGAATCAAAAGCCACTGCACCAGCCACGGCCAAAAACACCACAAAAACAATGGTTTTCCAAGGGAATGATTTCTTGGATCCAGAGATTTTTTCAAGAAGAGCCTAAAAATTAAAAGGAAAATTATCATAGAGAAAATAATTTTTCTGTTGATTTTCAGAAAAACTAACAGAATATTTCAATCAAAACAATGTAGTCAGGAGCTAAATTGACCTGAATGATGAAAAGTTAGTGTAAATAGCTTTCTATAGTATTTTTGTACAATGAAATCACCCAAATTATTGCATATTATTGTAGTTTAAGTTTACTAATTTCTAAAAAATGTGAGACGTTCAACAACTTGTCTGCACTAGGGGTCGCCAGCAACCTATTGCGGTTCGGCAGCACTTGCACATGCATTTCCCAACTAACCCACCTAGCTCGGTCGGAGGAGAGCGACATTTCATGCGCGTGGAGAAATATTCTTTACAGTTTGTGTTGTACAAGTAGATTTCTCATCCTTATGGAACAGAAGATCCCAATTTTATTTTTAGTTCTGTCCGGTGCACTGTAGAGGTTGTGTTTTGTTTACAATTTGTTTCTTGTAATTTCAGTAATTTAATACCTCGTTAAGCAAAATAAAACTATATAAACAATAACTTGTAGGCTACCCAAGTTTTAAAATCAAACAGTAAATCACAAATCATGAAATTAACCCTAAAATAAAAAAAAATAAAATTGTTGACACTACTGTGACGACACTAGCGATCAGTGTCGACTAGATACCAAAAAAAAGCTTCAAAATTTACAATGGGATGAGAAGTCTACTTCTATTGGTTAGTCTATGACGGTACATTTTAGATTTATTTGAATTAGTAATGAGTAAGTGAACACTTTCACCAGTGCTCATGGAGCACCGGCGTCCCTCATGGTGAAAACTTCCTCCGTGCTTATGGGTGACCTATGTCCCATAATTTGATGACATCACTGAGTTTATGTTTATATATTTTTTTAAGTATTCTTTATTAAAATTAAATATAAATTTCATAACAAGAAATTTTAAGTCTTCCTAGGAGATTTTTAGCGAATTTCCCAAATAGGGAATAAGCTATTACCGTAGTACTCATGGTAAGACCTGGACGCGGGACCGATTTTGTTTTTCGTTTTGAGGTCCCTAGAGGCCAAAAACACCATCCGTTCAAATTCATATATATATATATCTTACTAATATTATAAATCTGAAAGTTTGTGAGTTTGTGTGTATGTTTGTGTGTATGTTTGTGTGTGTGTTTGTGTGTGTGTTGCTCAATCACGCATAAACTACTGGACGGATTGGGCTGGAATTTGGCATAATGATAGCTCACATTCCCGATTAACATTAAAGCATATTCTTATCTCAAAAACCCTTTCGGGCTCCGCCCCCAGTGGCTCTGTAGTTCCCCATGTTAATCTTATGATTTTTCATATTTAAAAGGAATTAATGAATCTTAACAGCTGTTTCAATTAAACAAGTTGGTTCTGTTCTATGATATTCAATAGCATAAAAGTTAAAAGGATTACCAACAGGGTGCAGCACTATTAATTTTTTTTTTATATATGACAACAGCTAATTTCCAACCAAAAGGTGAGTGAGCGTAGCGAACAAACTTCAACCTGGAGGCGAGTTAGCGTAGCGAACGAGCTAACCTGAAGGCAAGTGAGCGCAGCGAACGAGCTCCAACCTAAAGGTGAGTGAGCGTAGCGAACGAACTTCAACCAGGACGTGAATGAGCCATGCGAATACTTATGAAGTTAAACGGGGCGAAGCCCGCGGGTACAGCTAGTATTTATATATATATATATATTTATATATATATATGTGTCCGTTAGCACGATAACTCGAGCAAAAATGATCCGATTTTGATGAAATTTGGTACAAACGTGTAAACCTACGTTTATTCGAACGAGTTCGCGATTCAGCATGATCGGACCATGGGAACGGGGGTTTACGGGGGGTTTTATGGGGTAAAAATAGGTTTTTCCCATTTTTGACCCAAAAAACATAAAATTTAGCAATTTCTTTCCAAACCATTTTGTAGAGCTTAAAAAAACAAATAATTTAGTATATTGAAGCGTTATTATGCGCCTAATAGTTACGGAGAAAATTCCAAAAAATTGTAAATTTAAAATTCCCATGTTATTCTTATGGAGAATAAGTAAACTGTTGTAGTTTGCTTGTTTATGAACATATTTTGATCAATTTTGGAAAATGTTTTTATTTCTTACTAACTATTAACATTTTACAAAAAAAACAAAGTTTTACCCTCCCTGATGCAGCAAACCTAAGTACTTGTTCAACTAATTCTATTTAAATCGGGAATAAATGTTATATTTTTAAGTAGACATTTCAGTGTAAAAATCAAATCAGTCAAATGGAAATTCGCTTAGTCTGCAGGTTTGCTGCGGCGGGGGTATTATATTTTATTGACTGTCTAAGTATTAAAAATTATCTATTTAAATTTAATTTTGAAATAACTTCTGACGGTTCAAACATTTTGTTTCACTCACCACACAAAGCCTAGAGCACTCCTGCAGGCCTTCATTTCTCTGCTTGCTCTTGTGAAGGTCGTCGTTAGTGACCTTAAAAGTCCTCAAAGTCTCCTTGAGATTCTTCAACGGAAGCTGGGAACTGACGGATTCCCAGTCTGCGTCTGTAAACATTGAGATGAGAATTTGTAGGGTCAGTCTTTCTGTTAGGGGTTTGACTGGTTTTGCGGATTCCCCAGTGTATTTTGATCTAGTTTGTGGCCACTAACACTTGCTCTGATATACACTTGTTGCGGTAAACCAGTAGACTATGTCGATGTCCATTCATCTGAATGGATTTTCACAAAAATATTTAGTTTAAGAACTCAGATTTATTACCTATTATATGGTTATCGGGTACTTAAGTGTATATTCTCCTCCACTCAGACACCCTCGGTGTCCGTAGCCAGACTGTGGCACAGATATCTGACCAGCTGACACTATCTTATATCTTACACACTACAAGTCATCATACTTACTGAGACGCCTAAGGAGAATAGCGGACTGAGGTTGTAGTTTAGTGTAGACTCTCCTCCACTCAGACCAACTCTGGGTGTCCGTAGCCAGACAGTGGCACAGATATCTGACCAGCTGACACTATCTTATATCTTACACACTACAAGTCATCATACTTACTGAGACGCCTAAGGAGAATAGCGGACTGAGGTTGTAGTTTAGTGTAGACTCTCCTCCACTCAGACCAACTCTGGGTGTCCGTAGCCAGACTGTGGCACAGATATCTGACCAGCTGACACTATCTTATATCTTACACACTACAAGTCATCATACTTACTGAGACGCCTAAGGAGAATAGCGGACTGAGGTTGTAGTTTAGTGTAGACTCTCCTCCACTCAGACCAACTCTGGGTGTCCGTAGCCAGACTGTGGCACAGATATCTGACCAGCTGACACTATCTTATATCTTACACACTACAAGTCATCATACTTACTGAGACGCCTAAGGAGAATAGCGGACTGAGGTTGTAGTTTAGTGTAGACTCTCCTCCACTCAGACCAACTCTGGGTGTCCGTAGCCAGACAGTGGCACAGATATCTGACCAGCTGACACTATCTTATATCTTTACACACCACAAGTCATCATACTTACTGAGACGCCTAAGGAGAATAGCGGACTGAGGTTGTAGTTTAGTGTAGACTCTCCTCCACTCAGACCAACTCTGGGTGTCCGTAGCCAGACAGTGGCACAGATATCTGACCAGCTGACACTATCTTATATCTTACACACTACAAGTCATCATACTTACTGAGAAGCCTAAGGAGAATAGCGGACTGAGGTTGTAGTTTAGTGTAGACTCTCCTCCACTCAGACCAACTCTGGGTGTCCGTAGCCAGACTGTGGCACAGATATCTGACCAGCTGACACTATCTTATATCTTTACACACCACAAGTCATCATACTTACTGAGACGCCTAAGGAGAATAGCGGACTGAGGTTGTAGTTTAGTGTAGACTCTCCTCCACTCAGACCAACTCTGGGTGTCCGTAGCCAGACTGTGGCACAGATATCTGACCAGCTGACACTATCTTATATCTTACACACTACAAGTCATCATACTTACTGAGAAGCCTAAGGAGAATAGCGGACTGAGGTTGTAGTTTAGTGTAGACTCTCCTCCACTCAGACCAACTCTGGGTGTCCGTAGCCAGACTGTGGCACAGATATCTGACCAGCTGACACTATCTTATATCTTTACACACTACAAGTCATCATACTTACTGAGACGCCTAAGGAGAATAGCGGACTGAGGTTGTAGTTTAGTGTAGACTCTCCTCCACTCAGACCAACTCTGGGTGTCCGTAGCCAGACAGTGGCACAGATATCTGACCAGCTGAAACAACAAAAAAAGCTTTTACCTTTGGTACATATAGGACATCAATTTTCTGTGACTTGAATATGAGATAATCGTCCATAAAATATTTTTGTGTAATGCCGATTTTAGCTGGTTGCCTGCTCCCAAAATAGATTCTCGCTGATTCTGCATTATGAATATAATCGTTGCCTGCAGCAAAACAAAGGACAGGTCTGGAGGAACTTAATATTAGCTAGGCCCGTTTTTTTCTGTGACTTAAAATGAAAAGCCTTTCCTTTTCAGTGACTTCCGTGACCCTATAGAAAAATCAGTGACATCCGTGATTTCCAGTAGACACCATGTAAAAAACCATAGCCATAACCATGTAATAAATATATTGAGGTAACACACTTCTTCATTGAGGGGTTGTGGGAATTTTATAGCAAACTGCGGATGGTTGGGAATTTTGGGCTTTTTTTGAGATTATACGTTTGCTTATAACAAACCAACCCCGCCTGCTCTACCTCATCACTGTTGTCATCACTAATTTCACTTGTACTGCATCAGTACTTCACTGTCGTTAAATCTCTGCAAAGTAGTCTATGACAACGGGCAGTTGAGGTTTTTGAAAATGACTCATTTAGGAGGATTATTGTAGGAAAAAGATAAAAATTTACACAATTATGACAAATTTTGATATATAATAATTTTTACTAATGATCACCGTTTTACAACATTTCACTACTTTTTACCCTTTGTAGAAGATGTTATATAAATATTTCTTTACAACTTTCTTTAATGTATCTATTCACCATGACACGTTCACACTTGATCCAAATCAATTAAATTTATTATCATATTTTCTATAGTAAATTTCAATACAAAAAGAAACGCTCAACATTTTGGTAGCTGCAGATTCATTGTTGCCCCAATGACTAAAAGAACTTCTAGGCCCGTTGCAGCACATTGAAATTAGCCGTTTTGGATTCAGTACAACAAAAACATATTTATAAGGAAGTAAAATATTAATGTGAAGACTGGAGAAAACTCTTATCTTATCACATATCTTATCTTATAACGTCTTATCACGTTATCTATCCTATAATGTCTTATCATCTCATCTTATTAAGGCTTATTTTTATAACTGGTATCTTATCACTACATTGACTTGCCTCTTGCCTAAGAGGAGGTGAGCTGTTGCTACTCAGTCTTGTCAACAGCGGCTCCACCAGACTGTGTAGAGAGTTGCTGGGCTGGGAGTTACACAATATCTCCTGAAACAGCACGAGGGTAAACGTTTTGAAATTAACTCCCAATGAAAAATTGTTATTTGTGCTATTAGTGAGCAAGGTGGCACCTTTTTGAAGGGAGAAAAAATCCATCTGAATTCGTCAATTTCATCAAGGAAATTATTTAAACGTCAAAAGTTTACAAATTCTTACCAGTAAAACTGGGTTAAATCGTAAATCAACCAATCATATTATTATTTCAAGACATTTAACAAGTTACGAATGTTTTTAATTGTGAGAAAATTAGAGTCCATGGGCTAATAAATACACAATAAAAGAACATGAAATATAGAAAAAAATATTTTGTCCTGCTGTAGGACTTCTTCTTAGGATTTGTTGAAGAGATTTGTTTGAAGAAGTACATTCCGACGATCGCACCATGACCGTGATGTCATACCGACGATCGCGCCGTGACCGCGGAGTCATACCAACGAACACGCCGTGACCGCAGAGTCATACCAACGATCGCGTCATGACCGCAGAGTCATACCGATGATCATGCCGTGACCGCGAGTCATACCAATCCCTGTGACATTTTTTGTTTTTTATGGATCAGTGCTGCAAATGGTCATAATTGATTTTGTTTGCCTTTTTTGGTAACTGCATTACTCCAATCTTTCTTTTTATGCACAGGAAAAAATCCCATCCCGTCCCGTCCCGAAAATCGGGAAGGAAATAAAAATCCCGTCCCGTCCCGTCCCGAACTATAAATTCAATCCCGTCCATCCCTACTAATAAGTAATAAGTCGATAGTAACAATTAGTAAATATCGTACATCACTACAGAAACCAACACGTACCTGTAAGGTCTTCAAGTGACTCCACAGCTCGTGGTTCGCTGGTTGTGTTGAGGAAATAACCACATCTACAATGTCCAAGTAGTGTTTGGCTGTAATCGTTTTGCTGGCTAAATGTCTGGCTAGGAGATGCTTGAGGTAGTCTGTTACAAAGTGTGTGTAATTCCTCAACGGATACACTGGGAACATCACGTGCTTCCACACTGCAAAGTCACTAATATGTTAGATAATCTAATCCGATCACCAGACACAAGAGGTTTTTGTTTTCTCACTCATACATCTTGAGATAAATAATTTCTAACCAATCACTTATTTTTTTATTATACAGTAAAACGCCTATTATCTGAGTACCGATTAACCGCATCGCCAATTATCCAAATCGGCTCTAAGCTTAGTATAAAAAATTAAAACCAAGTGCAAAAATTCGACTGACTGTCGTGTTAACACAATGATGATGCCACCCCACCCGGCGGTGTAGTGAATTGACAGCGTGGCAGTGTTTTGATGCGCAGAGTGTATTGTGCATCCACCTGCAGCCACTCCCCCTACCCAATGACATGTGAACTATCAGAGCTAGGTTAGTTAGCTCCTCCCTCTCCTACTGTGCAGATCGCTGTTTTTTTGTTTTTGTTCGTATTTTATTTTATTTTAGTTGTGAGTTTGTCAAACTTGTGATTTGAATTATTTAATGGTTATGTGTGTTTAAATAAGTAGGAAAATTGAGTGCAAAACGAAAACATGTATTCCTATCGCTAAAGGACAAAGTGGAAATAATCAACCAGTTAAAAAACGGAGTGGCGGGAAAGGTATTAGTTGTGCAGAGTTTTGGTGTCAGGGCAGCTACGATTACTGACATAAAATACCCCCGCCGCAGCAAACCTGCCGTCTAAGCGAATTTCCATTTGGCCGAATTGATTTTCAATTGATCTATTTAAATAACATTAGGTTTAACGAGTACCTAGGTTTGCTGCTACAAGGAAACTAATAAAGTAGTGTGTTTTTAGTAAAATATTGATAGCTTACTATAAAATAAATAAATTTGCCAAGTTTGATCAAAATATATCCATAAACAAGCAAACTACAACATTTTACAATATTCTCCATAAGAATAACATGGGAATTTTAAATTTACCATTTTTTTAGTTTTCTCCGTAACCAATAACCGTACAAAAACACTTTGATATACTGAATTGTTTGTTTTTTTAAGCCCTTTAAGAAGGTTTAGAGAAAAATTGGGAAATTTTGTGTTTTGAGGGTAAAAAGTGAGAAAAACCAATTTTTACCCCATAAAACCCTCCATAAAGCCCTGTTCCCATGGTCCGATCATGCTGGATCGCGAACTCATTCAAGTTTATCCCGCCTTACACCTTCAAACCAAATTTCATCAAAATCGGATAAAAATTACTCAAGTTATCGTGTTCACGGACACATATATATATAAATCTATATATATATATATCTATATATATATATATACATATATAAAAATTTGAACGAATGGTGTTTTTGGCCTCTGGGGACATTAAAATGAAAAAGTAAATCGGTCCCGGGCCTAAGTCTTACCATGAGACCTACGGTAATAGCTACTTCCCTATAGGGAAATTCGCTAAAAATAAGTGAAAACATTTTAAGTTTTGTGACAACATTGGAAAGTGATGATGGATGTTTGTCGCGAAAAGTAATGAAAAAGGCAAAAGATGAACAGCTTGAGAATGCAGTTTTTACCTGGTACCAACGATCTAATGGACAACCGATTTCAGGACCTATTTTATGTGAAAAGGCGCAAATGTTCTGTGAAAAAATGGGTGTAGCTGATTTTAAAACAAGCACGGGATGGATACACAATTTCAAGAACAATTCTGTTTTGACAACGCCCTTAAATGGATGGAGCGGCAACCAGTGTGTGACGGTGTACAGCTTCTTGCCGTCCGGCGCCTGCGGGTTTTAGCTGCGCGGAAATGAGCTACAATGTCATGGCAACTTACACTGATCGAGATGTATAAGTAAGCGTTGTTAAAGAACTTTTTGAAAAGAACTTAATATTGTACTGTAATTTTGTTTTTATTTATCTCAGTATTTGTTCCTCTACTGTACTTCAATTAAATTTAACAGCTCTGTCTTGGTTATACTCAATAAAGTTCATTCGTTACCATTCTGTGTCCGATTATCCTAATTTTTTTTTATCGGGACTGACCCCGGTCCCAATTAATTCGTATAATCGGGGTTTTACTGTATTAAACTTACCAAAAACTCTTATGGTTGTTCTAATGTCAAGTTGTATATATACACCAAACAATCCTGACATACATGTGAAATATAATTCTTGTATTAAGATCATCCTACAGCCCCAAAGGTCGCTTACCACATGTTAGGAAACACTGGTCTAGAATATTCAACTAATTAGATACTCTGGAAAACACAATAGCTCAGAAAGTCTTACCCTGAAGTCCAGCAAGGATGTCTTTGAATCCGCCCTGTCCAAGCGCCCACATCACCGAGCATCCGATAGCGGGACGGTTCTGGTATGAGTGACGTAACGTCGCTGCCTTCGCCAGGTCTGCCACCGCGACAGATGGAGTCTGCGATGCTACCAACTGTAGCAACATCTTGTATCCCGTCACTGGACTGCCTGAAAAATAACAACAAACTTATCAAAATGCAAATCCACTCATCTTGGTTAGTATGTGAAAGTATTAACTGTTAGGCGCTGAAGTAGGCCTTCGTTTATGTGGACCTGTAGCCCAATATTTATTAAAATACCCCCGCCGCAGCAAACCTGCAGACTAAGCGAATTTCCATTAGCCTGATAGGATTTACACTAAAATGCTTCCTTAAAAATATCATATTTATTCCCTATTTAAATAGAAGTACCTGGGGACCGAGCTTTGCTTGGGGAAAATCATTAGTTTACTCTGAAAGCAGTTTAGGATTGCAGATAGATTAATCCATTCCCAAACTCCACACTGCTCACCTTTACTACTTCCTTCACCATTTCCTACGTCAAGGACCTGTTTCCTTCCCTTCTCATAGCATTTTAGGATGTAAGATACATTTATCTAACTGCCAGGCACAGTTCCCACACTCGGCGATGCTAAACTTTACTACTTCCTACGTCGTGGACCTGTTTTCATCTCTTTCCATACCATTTTAGTATTATAGATAAATTAATATAATTGCCACAAACATTCGACTCCGCACTGCTAGCCTTTACTACTTCTTTCACCATTTCCTATGCCGTGGACACGTTTCCTTCCCTTCTCATAGCATTTCAGTATTGCAGATGCATTAATATAACTGCTACAAACGGTTTCCAGTTCCAACTCTCCCGACTGCTTTCCTTTAATACTTCCTTCACCACTTCATACGCCTCGGACCTGTTTTCCTCCCTTCCCATAGCATTTTAGGATTGCAGATACCTTAATCAAACGTCACAAACAGTTCCCACACTCCAGACTGCTTACCTTAACTACTTCCTTCGCCACTTCCTACGTCTCAGACCTGTTTCCCTCCCTTCCCATAGCATTTTAGGATTGCAGATATCTTAATCTAATCGTCATAAACAGTTCCCACACTCCGGACAGCTCGCCTTGACTACTTCCTTCACCACTTCCTATGTCACGGACCTTTTTTCCTCCCTTCCCATAGCATTTTAGGATTGCAGATACCTTAATCTAAACATCATAAACAGTTCTCACAATCCGGACTGCTCGCATTTATTACTTCCTTCATCACTTCCTACGTCGCGGACCGGTTTCCCTCTTTTCCCATAGCATTTTAGGATTGTAGATACCTTAATCTAATCGTCATAAACAGTTCCCACACTCCAGACGCTTCACCTTTACTACTTCCTTCATCACTTCCTACGTCATGGACCTGTTTCCCTCCCTTCCCATAGCATTTTTGGATTGCAGATACCTTAATCTAATCGTCATAAACAGTTACTACACTCCAGACTGCTCGCCTTTACTACTTCCTTCATGACTCCCTACGTCACGGACCTGTTTCCCTCCCTTCCCATAGCATTTTAGGATTGTAGATACCTTAATCTAATCGTCATAAACAGTTCCCACACTCCAGACTACTCGCATTTACTATTTCCTTCACCACTTCTTGCGTCGCGGTCCTGTATCCCTCCCTTCCCATGGCATTTTTTGATTGCAGATACCTTAATCTATCGTCATAAACAGTTCCTACACTCCAGACTTCTCGCATTTACTATTTCCTTCAATACTTCCTGCGTCGCGGACCTGTATCCCTCCCTTCCCATGGCATTTTTTGATTGCAGATATCTTAATCTAATCGTCATAAACAGTTCCTACACTCCAGACTGCTTGCTTTTACTACTTCCTTCATCACTTCCTACGTCACAGACCTGTTTACCTCCCTTCCCATAGCATTTTAGGATTGTAGATACCTTAATCTAATCGTCATAAACAGTTCCCACACTCCAGACTGCTCGCCTTTACTACTTCCTTCACCACTTTGTACGTCACGGACCTGTTTCCCTCCCTTCCCATAGCATTTTAGGATTGCAGATATCTTAATCTAATCGTCATAAACAGTTCCCACACTCCAGACGCTTCACCTTTACTACTTCCTTCATTACTTCCTACGTCATGGACCTGTTTCCCTCCCTTCCCAGAGCATTTAAAAATTGCAGATACCGTAATCTAATTGTCATAAACAGATCCCACTCTCCACACTGCTACCCTTGACTACAATGTATCGAGTAATCATCAGTATAATCTTTGCTCAATAGTACCGGTAACAACTGATGTTTCCTTTTGTACTGTATTTTGTTTTGCTAGTATACTGTGGATAGACAACTTACAAGTCTTTTGTTTACTTTTTCCTTGTTATTTAATTCTGCCAAGATGGTTACTTAGCAACCCATTAGACTAATGTTAAAAAATGTGACTTTCAGTTTCATCTTTCTACGTAATTAGATTTTTGTTGGCAGTTCTAACTGCAGTAAACTCGTTTTTAGGCCAAAAATAAACTATTTACAACATTTGAAGAAAATCGTCGGAGCCGTTTTCGAGATCTTGGTGCAAGCATACATACATACAAGCAAACATTGCTCGTATTAGAGTATAGGATTAGTTTAACGAGTACTTAGGTTTGCTGCAACAGGGAGGGTAAAACTGTTTTTTTATGTTAATAGTTTAGTAAGAAACTAATGTATTTTCCAAATTCGATCAAAATATGTTCATAAACAAGCAAACTACAACAGTTGACTTATTCTCCATAAGAAAAACATGGGGATTTTAAATTTACAGTTTTTTGGAATAATCTCCGTAACCATTAGGCGCACAATAACGCTTCAATATACTAAATTATTTGTTTTTTTATGCCCTACAAAATGGTGTGAAAAGAAATTGTATAATTTTGTGTTTTTAGGGTCAAAAATGGGAAAAACCTATTTTTACCCCATAAAACCCCCCATAAACCCCCGTTCCCATAGTCCGATCATGCTGGTTCGCGAACTCGTTCAAATAAATGTAGGTTTACACGTTTGTACAAAATTTCATCAAAATCGGATCATTTTTGCTTGAGTTATCGTGCTAACGGACACATATATATATATATATAAATATATATATATGAATTTGAACGGATGGTGTTTTTGGCCTCTAGGGACCTCAAAACAAAAAAATTAATCGGTCCCGGATCCAGGTCTTACCATGAGTACTACGGTAATAGATTATTCCCTATATGGGAAATTCGCTAAAAGGAAACAGTTGAATGATATTAGATTTAGACTCATTGTTGCCTGAGTTCTTGTGTAAGATGTTTGTGTCACCCTATGCATTTCTGCACCTTATGTGACATCTTCAGAGGTCTTCTTAATTCATCTTCTTTTATTACACTATAGTCTATATTTAAAAAAAGTATTTACACACACAATGCTATTTTAGACTACCAAGGGAGTTATGGCGTGAGGTCTTTCTTCCTCGGTTTCATTTCATGGACTGGGGTTGTTGGCATTTTGGCCGTTCGACGGCTGTTTGGACTTTTGTCGTCTCGTTGTCCGATTGATAAGACCGCGATACTAGTGTGTGTAAACATTTTTGTAAATATAGACTTCAGTAAAAACTTGTTTACTGTTTATTTATGGATGCAGCATAAATCAAAAGGAGATTTAAGGATTTTTGTTAGAACAGCAGGCGTACCTGAATGTGAAAGAGTGTACTTCAGAACAATAAACACAAAAGATTTTTCATCATACACAACCAACAGCATTTTCAACCAAGGGACATCTCTTCCAAAGAAAAAAGTGTTTCAGTGTTCTTGTGTCGGAGTGGACTCTTATCCATTCAGATCATAACAAAAAGCCACCTAACTGGATGGTGTCTATCGTGGAAATAAGTAGGGATGGACAGGTCCTGAAATTTCAGGAATACTACCAACGATCACGCCGTGACCGCGAGTCATACTGACGATCACCCCGTGACCCCGTTGTCTTACCAATGATCTGTGTACAAGGGTATGCCCTTGCGATGCATGGTTCCCACTGCGTTTGCAGCTTCACTTAACCTGGAAATTTAGCGTCCTATTTCCCGTGACAAATGCGCTGGTATAACATGATCCTAACAAGAAGTTTGACTAGACACTACTACTATTTCATGCAACCCCTTCCCTGAGTTTATGTGACTGTGAACCTCAGCCTGCTTTCCCATACAGTAATTACCGAAACACAATGTAGGTCTTTTCCACCTAAGTGCTAGGCTAGGTGGTCTAGAGGGTTAAACCCCTTAATGAACCTGTTATTTCAAACCTGAAATAATTCTCATTATTCATAACCTACCTTTGGTCATATCATTTGCCATTGACGTAAGGCAGTAATCAAAGAACATCTGGACTGCAGCATCAGGCACCTCTTTCAAAGCTTTCTTTAGAACAGACCTGACAACAGTTATCGATTAATTTTTTTTGACTAAGTACCTAGTTAAATAAAGTAATGGGTCAATTATATTCAAGTTGGAGGTTTAAAACCTAGTATTAAATAATAATATTGTTTTAAAATTAATTAAAGTGAAAGAAATATTGAATGATAAAAAGGTAGAGTGAATACAATAAATTTGAATTAATTTATAATAAAAATACAAACTTTGAGAATGTTCTTTATTCAATTTTACTTACTTTTCTAATTTACAAGAGATGTGAAAAGATATTACTTTCTTGGCTACCATGCAGCTAATAATAGGAAGAAAAAACCAAAAGAGTTTACATCAGCTCACTATACCACAGAGAGGTGTGAAACAAAAGAATTTTGCAATTAATGCAAGCTCATTTATACCATAATTAAACAAATTATAGCAACGCAGAAGATACACAGGCAGTTTTTCTCTGTCTACTGATTTCACAGATGTTGATTTAAAAATGTAGACCGCTACAGAAAGTATCAAGCTGAAGCTATACATTTGATTTTATAGCAAACCCCTTAGTTAATAGTAGGAAGAACCCTGCCCTACCTGATATCTTTGTGTAGCAAACACAGAGGGTATTCCCAACTCTTGGCAGTAAACGTATTATCCGTGTGATCAACAGGCAGTTTGGTGTTGAGCCACGAAGCAAACCCTTTGAGCCACACTAGAGGTGCGTCAGGAAACCTAGCCTGCCCCACCTCCAGCACGTTCTGCACGTCAACTGCGGTTATCTGCAATTTTGTGCAACGACTCTATAAACCTATTCTTAAATTATTTGTACCTACTTACAAGACACCCTGTATACATATATAACTAGAACTAGGTTTTATATGAATTCAAACAGTTGGTGTTTTTAGCTTATGGGAACATCATGAAACAAACAAGTAAATCAGTCCTGGTACCAGATCTTACCACAAGACCTACGGTAGTAGCTGGTTTCCTATATGGGAAATTCACCAAAAACCTAGATTCTTACTTAATTCCAACGTCAAACTGTAGGGGACCTTTATACAGTGGTCATGGTCAAAATTAAAATACTTCTTGTTCTTGTATTAACCTATACCGAGGTAAACAAGTCATAATTAAATTCACAAAGAACAGGTACGCAAATAGCATATTTGAGCTAAGATTTCCTGGGTCACTAACACAAACACTACGAATTTTATCTGCAAGGTTCAACTGCTTCACAAACATAAACTTATAACATTTCAGCCTCATTGTCTCATCTACAGAAGCCTCCTCCAATGATGGCTTCCTGCAATGAGTCCAAAACGGTTAGCTTCATGTTATAAGTTTAAGTTTGTGACGTGGTTGAACCCTGAAGACCCGATTATTAGTGTAGTTTAAGTAAGCAAATACGAAAAGCAGTGCTCGATTTGCGGGGAACGCGACGGAACCGAGTTCTGATATCTCTTTCGGAAAGATAAAAATATTGGTACAAATCACAATAAATAGCACAAATCACACGGCACCTTATTTTATACAAATTGAGCACTGCGTAAAAGTAGAATCTATGAATGCAAAGACCCAAAAACAAATTAATATGTGTTGAAGAATAAAGATTGTTTGCCTTGAATGAGTAGGCTTTATTTAACACAATTCAAGTAATGGAATTCATAAGTAAGAGTCAAATCTAGAGAATGAAATACAAATAATGATTACAAACATTCAAGATAAACAAATAAAATAACAATGTCCAACAACAGCTGGGAATATTTTCTATCACATTCTTCCCCGCTAATATAATTTAAAGTCTTTAAGATGAGAAGGTAGTTTTTTCTGTCTTGAGCTTCGTCTCTGTGATTTGGTTTCATCAGTCCTTAAGGTTTGTAGAGGCTCTTGAGTTGCAGATTCTTCTATCACCTCTGGATCGGGATGAGACACATTCTGGGTTTCGTCTACTAAGTTTACATCGCTATTAAGTTCCATTGTGTGGTTCTCCTGTGTTGATCCATCATCAAAATCTGTTCTCTCACCTTGTTTTCCACAAGGAGCTAAGTTGCGTGTAGACACTGTTGTCTCACGCCCATCTGGCAATCGTACATGAGCGTAATCAGAGTTTCCTTCCAGCAACGTCACCTCCTGCACTATTGGTTCATACTTAGAGTTTCTGATAGGACGTCTCATCAACACTTTTCCAGGAGTCATCAACCAGGTTGGTGTGGAAACACCATTTTGTGATTTTCTGGGATGTCCAAACATTCGTTCATGTGGCGTACAATTCGTGGCAGTACAAAGCAAGGATCGGATAGATTGAAGAGCTTCATCCAGAACTAATTCCCACTTTGTCACGTCAAGTTGATAGTTCTTAAGGGCAAGTTCTACTGTTCTCCAGATTGTACCATTATACCTCTCAACCTGGCCATTACACTGAGGGTTGTAAGCAGTAGTCCGACTAGAAGCAATGTCGTTTAAAGTGAGAAACTCCTTTAGTTCTTTTGAAAGAAAAGGAGATCCCTGATCGGAGTGAATGTAGCTAGGAGTACCGAACAATGAAAATAACTGTTTCAGTTTGCAAATAACAGTCGAAGAGGACATATCAGGACATGGGTACGCAAATGGAAATTGTGAGTACTCATCAATGATTGTTAGCATATACCGATTTCTTGTAGAAGAGGGAAGAGGACCCTTAAAATCCAGGCTAAGACGCTCGAACGGTGATGTTGCTTTTATTAATTTTCCATCATGTTTGAAGAATCTTGGTTTTACTTCAGAAACCACAGGAAGCAGTCATTCTTCTTACCTCATCAAGGGAGTATGGTAAATTTTTGCTTCTTATCCAATGATACATACGAGTTTCACCAGGATGACACATTCTTTCAGGATATTTATGAAGTCTGTTCATTTTGTCGCTCATCGAGCATACTCGTGATAGAGAGTCAGCAGCTACATTCAGTTTAGGTCTATAAACAATATCATAACTATAGCTTGATAGTTCTAGTCTCCACCTCATGATTTTGTCATTCTTAATTTTCCCCGATATCTTAGAGTTGAACATGAAAGAGACAGACTTCTGGTCTGATATTAGTTTGAAATGTCTGCCTAGCAAATAGTGTCTCCATTTTCGTACTGACTCCATGATTGCATAATGCATATGCTTCCTTTTCAACCGAACTGTGCTTTAGTTCACTATAGACAGAGCTCTTGAGAAAAAGGCTACAGGTTTTCCTTCCTGGGTCAGTGTTGCTGCTATTACAGTGTCAGATGCATCAGTCTCAACAGTGAAGGGTGGATCAGGATTTATGGGACTCATTGAGGCATTTTCAATCTCTTGTTTCAGTTCATTAAATGCATTTATAGCCGTTGCGGATAAAGGGAAAGAGCTGGTTGTCAGAACTTTAACCTTTTCTAAAAATCGTGGGGAAAAGATTCCTACTGCCCTTCTTAGGGATGATGCATTTGTGGGCAAGGGGAAGTTCTTTAGAGGTAAAAGCCAATCAGAATCTGGCTTAATGGTTTTGTTGCTTATTGTATATCCAAGGAGACTAATCAATTTCATTGAAAAAGAACATTTATTTTCATTAATAGTCAAGTTATACGTACTAGCAGCGTTCATCAGCCTGTTTAGGTTCCTATCATGCTCCTCTTGTGTTTTACCACATACTGTTATGTCATCTAAATAAGTAAAGGTGTCATTAAGATTTTCTGCCCTGATTATGCCATCAATAACTCTTTGGAACGCAGCAACTCCATTTGTCACCCCAAAAGGAATTCTGGTAAATTGATACAGCTGACCACATGCTTCAAAAGCTGTAAAAGGCTTATCTTCAGCCTTGATCGGTATTTGATGGTAAGCGCTTTTTAAATCAATGGCACTAAACACTTCATAGTTAGCAACTTTATTGACAATTTCTTCAAGATTTGGGATTGGATAAGCATCGAGACTTGGAAATCTGTTTATAGTGTTAGAGTAGTCTATTACCATACACTTCTTATGGTTTTTGGAGCTGGTAACAAAAGCTTGAGCTCTCCATGGAGATATAGTTGGTTCTATTACGCCTTCATGCAATAGTGAGCGAATTTCTTCTGAAATAAACTGATAATCTGTTACTGTATGACGGCGAGATTTCACAGAAATATGGTGACAATCATGTGAAATATGCTCAAATAGGGAAGCTTGTGGTACATTTGCAGCAGCTATAGATACTATAGCAAGAGGAGGTTCGGGTCCACCTAATTTGAGTTCTAATTTAGAATGACGACTGAGTAAATCATGACCTATTATCAAATCACAACAGAGATTGGGTAAAATGTACAAAATCACATTATTGTATGAGTTACCAAGAATCTTCAAATTAACTTTGCATTCACCTTTAGTTTTAGAAGTTAACTAAGAAGCTGCCATTGATACTTGACTGATTTTAGAAGGATAGGTTTTTATTTTCAGTTGATTTACTAAGTCACTACTCAGGAAAATAGTGGTACTACTAGTGTCAATTAGGTCTTGAGCTGCTTTACCATTTACATTAACTGGGACAATAGCTTTTGAAAGACCTAGGGGATAACTTGAAGAACAACTTATGTGGCTTATGACTGATGAAGTTATATGTTTAATTTTTGAGTTTTGACCAAAACTTGATCTATTTATTTGAGAGGAAGACTTACATACCTTAACAAAGTGACAAAGTTAACAAAGTTTTTACCACAACCTTTACAGTAAGAATTTCTTGCGGGACAGTCATTTCTTGGATGTCTATTGAATCCACAGAAGAAACATCTAATATTACTCCTAGAAGTAGCGGCTATGGTTGGATTATTTGTATCATCGTCTTGAACGATTGAGTTTCCTTGTTTTAAAACTGAATTGAGATTTGAGCTGGGTTGATATAGGAGGGTTTGTAGTTGTGCACTTTCCAAACAACGGGCCTGTTCATAAGCATCTTGAAGAGGCAGCTTAAAGTTCTCTAGCAGTCTCTGGCGAATGTGTGGAGCAATCAGGCCATTTACAAATGCATCTCTATTTTCTTCTGCAGAAGTAGCTTTAAAATTGCAGTCTTTGCTGAGTATCTTTAAAGCTTCTAGATATTGGTCAACTGATTCTCCTGGTTGTTGCTGACGAGTAGATATTGCGATATGTAGATATTGAGTAGATATGGCGAGCAAATAGGCCTACTTCGTTCACTGGCTTACAATATAGATTTTGAAGATTACCAATTGCATCTTTAAAATTCAAACATTCACTGATATAAGTAGGTATATACTGACGGCACCACATAGTTGATTAGAAGTTTCAATTTCTCAGATTCATTTGCTTCTGTCACTTCAATAAAATTTGTAAATGTCCTGAGCCAGTGATTCCATTCCATTGCTGCTGTTGAAGAGTTTGGATCTATTGAAAGTTTTGCAGGAGCAAAATGTTTTTCCATGATTACAGATATTGTGTTAAATAAATTGTTGAAGAATAAAGATTGTTTGCCTTGAATAAGTAGGCTTTATTTAACACTAGCAGAGTACCCGTCCTTCGTACGGGGTTGGCATAAAAGTGTAAAATGATTATTGCAGTTATACTCCAACTTAGCGTTTGCAATGGGGGAGAATACAGTTTGATAAAATTTGCTTTTTTAAATTTTTCATGCAATTAAAAACATGAACATAACTGTAAACAATCTTACTTTGACAGTTCTCCATTGCCTATCACAGTTTTTTGTTGCTCCTTGGTTCAAATTAGGTGATTTCATAAACGTAAAAAATAATAGTGCTGCACCCTGTTGGTAAATCTTATAACTTTTTAATACTTTTGCATTATCATAGAACCAACTTTGTTAGTTGAAACAGCTGACTAAATTCTGTAATTCCTTTTAAATATGAATACTCATAAAGTTAACATGGGAAACTACAGAGCCACTGGGGCGGAGCCCGAAATGATTTTTGAGATAAGAATATGCCTATATGTTAATCGGGAATATGAGTTATCATCATGCCAAATTTCAGCCCAATCCCAATGGTTAAAGCGTGATTGACCTTCAAACAAACACACAAACTTTCACATTTATAATATTAGTAAGACAACTCAAGTAGGTAATGGAATTCATAAGTAAGAGTTAAATCTAGAGAATGAAATAATGATTACAAACATTCAACATAAACAAATAAAATAACAATGTCCAACAACAGCTGGGAATATTTTCTATCACAATATGCTTGTCATAGTCTTTCCTTAAAAAGTTAGCAAAAGAATCGCTAGACTTATTCTTAACCAATAACACACTTAAGACATATCACAAGATTTTGTTATACCATCTGCGGTTGAGGTTTTAGATGCCTGGCGGCGCCGGTGATGGGAGCAGCCAAAGCGCTGCGTAGATGAGTGTGTCAAAATGTTTAAATTTAGTTTCATCCAATAGGAGAGGCATATTATAACATGTACTGTGTTTCAGTCGTTGTGGACATAGTTTTACAAGAACTCAACAGATAGCAGCATTAAACAGCAGGCTCTTAGTATTAGAAAAAGTAGGTTATGAAAAATCTAGATACACCATCAACAAAAACATCAAAAAGGCGTCAAGCACAATTTTTAGGTCAGGTTCCTTCCACAATGCTTCACTGTAGTTATTGTTATCATTATATTCTATTTCATTTCACTATATCCAAGCCATAACCCCACACTACACTAAATTTGGAACAATCCCTTCCACTTTTGTATATGAAAACAAATTATACTCAATTGAAGTAAAACACTGGCACAATAAGCGGCAATCGGAAGCAATGTTCCCCGTGTGTGGCTGAGCTCACACTGAAGCTAAGTTAACGTGTTAATAAAAATTTCATTTTTCCTTATTCCTAAAATTATTGATTTATTCTTTGAAAAAAATTACAATAGATAGGCTATTAGGCTACTTTTATCCCCCTTGGTGGTTACCAAGGGTACTATTCTTTTAGGTTTTAAAGAAACCGTACCGATAGTTGTTTCTTATTTTTTACGTTTCTAATATTTCTTTATTTTGAATGACTACTTACCAATGCGACTGCAGCATCTATAGTTTTAGGTGGCCTACTTTCTTTCACAGGCTCTTTCTTTTCCTTAGGTTTCTTTTGCGCCTTTTTTGCTTCGTTTTCTTTGGTTTTTACAGCCTTTTCAACAGGTTTTGGAAGTTCCTTGTTGGTGTCCAAAGCTGAATACAATGTCTTCACTTGTGCCAATGGTACTAAAAACATGGAATCATTATAAGTAAGTCAAAAGAGACACCAACCCCAAGCTCAAATTACTTTGAGATTCCATTCCCTATTATGAACCAATTATGTGTGATTTGACACTAATGGCATTTTCACATTTTTTACAAGGGGAACGGTCATAACCTAACGTTAACGGCATCGGGTGCATCACGGAAGTTACCTCACTAGGAAGTTACGGGTCACTATATTTTTCCTTTATTAAAACCATAGTTTGCGTTCGGCAGGGCTGTCGCCTGACGTACCTCACGCACCTCTTTCGCGGAATCAGTTTCGGCTACTCTTACCCCTTTCCCAGTTGTCAGTTGACCTTGGGAAGTGGTTTGTGTCACTACTGGAAGTAGCTTCCGTGAGCGCTCTGTGATGTAACGGGTTTCCCGGAGCCTAATATCTGTGTACGCCCTTGTGTTTGACCTTATTTTGCGATATTATAAAATGGAAGAACGAATTGCGTGATTGTTGGCTAGAGTTGAAAGGGAGAGCAGTGAACAACACTTAGTGGAAAGATCTACCGGCCCATTTGTTCTTGGAAAAAGAGCTTTGACAAAATGAGTAGGTAGTACTTCCAACAAATGATTAAGGCTATTTTTTATTAGACCATAGGTGTTTTATTTCATACACTATTGCAATTTTTCTAATAGCTTGGACAAAATAAGGTGTCCATATATGAAATGTTTTTTTTATATATAAGATTATTATAAGTGTATGCCTACTTTGTGGTTGGCTGACCAGGATTTGCTTTTAAATACTATAATATAGAAAGTAGTAAATAAGTAGGCCTAGATAAGGGTATAAATTTAAGTTAAGATACAAAGAGCACATTAAAGCAATTGGTTCCAAGCCCAGCCTTCAAAGATCCAACTTCGCAGCACACATTAGGGATACCATGCATGATTATAAACCAGTTGAAGACTGTTAAGTTCTGCGCACATGCAACAAATCATGTAGGCTAACAGGTTAGAGGAAGTGGAAATAAATCACGCTCACAAATACGACAAGCAAAACCTCATCAACGTCCAGTCCAATTTTACAGCCAACGTAATATACGAGGCATGTTTTTTAAGTACCGTTTTTAAATTTCTCCGTCCCAGCACAGCGATTGGCATTTTCGACATTTGCGCTGTGTACGGGCATCTATTGGGAGAAAAATTGGCCGTGTTTACATCCGGTTTCGAGCATTCAAAATGGTGCCGCCAATTGAGACTGCCGCCGACTGTGAAGTGCTCGCTGTAATTAGATTTTTAAGTGCTAAAGGTGTGAAAGCCATTGAAAATCATCGACAGATTAGTGAAGGGTATGGCGAGAACATTATGAGTGCTATAATGGCACGCAAGTAGGTAAGGGAATTTTAAGACGGCCCCACCAACGTTCATGATGAGCAACGCACTGGGTACAGGGACAGTAATGCAATGGGTGGCGTCAATAATGTCCCCGTACCCAGTGCGTTGCTCATCATGAAAGTTGGTGGGGCCGTTGAAACAGCTGGTCAGTACAATGAACTGGTGTTTGTTTATTTACTCGAAAAATATGTTTGTGGCGCTTTAAGTAGATTGAGGAGGGTTATGTTTGGTTTTAAAGTGAGGTTGTATACGTTTTGTAAAGTATTGTTCAAAGTTTCATGTTTTAATTGAGCGGAGCGAGCGAAGCGAGCGAAGCTCTTATACGTCGACTTTTATGCATTTCGTAATACGCAAACTCCTCCTAGACGGCTGAATCAATCGTTTTCAAATTTTGCATGGTGATAAAGACCATATCGGTGAGTGCCAACATCTATATAGCGTTAAAAAAGTCTCTCAGGAATCCGTAGAAAAATGAAACTGAAAATCACATTTTTTTAACATTAGTCTTATGGGTTGCTAGGTAACCATGTTGGCTGAATTAAATAACAAGTAAAAAGTAAACAAAAGATTTGAAGTTTTAGCATGTGCTCATAATAAGCCAACTACCCACAGTATACTAGGAAATTACAAATACAGTACAAAAGGAAAAACATCACTTGTTAATATTGAGCAAAGATTATACTTAAGACTAGCTGTACCCGCGGGCTTTGCCCCGTTTAACTTCATAAGTCTTCGCATGGCTCAATCACGTCCTGGTTGAAGTTCGTTCGCTACGCTCACTCACCTTTAGGTTGGAGCTCGTTCGCTGCGCTCACTTGCCTTCAGGTTAGCTCGTTCGTTACGCTAACTCGCCTCCAGGTTGAAGTTCGTTCGCTATGCTCACTCACCTTATGGTTGCAAATTAACTGTTGTCGTAAATTTAAAAAAATAATAGTGCTGCACCCTGTTGGTAATCCTTGTAACTTTAATGCTATTGAACATCATAGAACAGAACCAGTTTGTTTAATTGAAACAGCTGTTAAGATTCATTAATTCCTTTTAAATATGAAAAATCATAAGGTTAACATGGGAAACTGCAGAGCCACTGGGGCGGAGCCCGAAAGCCCGATCACAATAAAAACTACTTAGTTTTCCTATTTAATGCCCAAAGAATCGGTGTAGCCTACCGAATTTCAGCCTCCTAGGTAAATGGGAAGTGGGAGAATTAGTGATGAGTGAGTGAGTGAGTGAGTCAGTGAGGGCTTTGCCTTTTATATATTTAGATTACTCGATACATTGTAGTCAAGGGTAGCAGTGCGAAGTCTAGGATCTGTTTATGATGAATACATTAAGGTATCTGCAATCCTAAAATGCTATGGGAAGGGAGGAAAACAGGTCCGCGACGTAGGAAGTGGTGAAGGAAGTAGTATAGGCAATCATAAAATGCTATGGGAATAGAGGGAAACAGGTCCGTGACGTAGGAAGTGATGAAGGAAGTAGTAAATGCGAGCAGTCCGGAGTGTGGGGACTGTTTATGACGATTAGAATAAGGTATCTGCAATCTTCAAGTGCAATAGGAAGGGAGGGAAACAGGTCCGCGACGTAGGAAGTGGTGAAGGAAGTAGTCAAGGCGAGCTGTCAGGAGTGAGGGAACTGTTTATGGCGATTAGATAAGGGTATGGGCAATCCTAAAATGCTATGGGAAGGGAGGGAAACAGGTCCGTGACGTAAGAAGTGGTGAAGGAAGTAGTCAAGGCGAGCTGTCTGGAGCGTGGGAACTGTTTATGATGATTAGATTAAGGTATTTGCAATCCTAAAATGCTATGGAAAGGGAGGAAAATAGGTCCGCGACGTAGGAAGTGGTGAAGGAAGTAGTCTAGCCGAGTTGTGCGGAGTGTTGGAAATGTTTATGACAATTAGATTATGGTATCAGCAAATCTAAAATGCTACGGGAAGGGAGGAAAACAGGTCCGCAACGTAGGAAGTGATGAAGGAAGTAGTCAAGGTGAGCTGTCCGGAGTGTGGGAACTGTTTATGACGATTAGATTAAGGTATTTGCAATCCTAATGCTATGGGAAGGGAGGAAAACAGGTCCGCGACGTAGGAAGTGGTGAAGGAAGTAGTCAAGGCGAGTAGTCCGGAGTGCGGGAAATGTTTATGACGATTAGAATAAGGTATCTGCAATCTTTAAGTGCAATAGGAAGGGAGGGAAACAGGTCCGCAACGTAGGAAGTGATGAAGGAAGTAGTAAATGCGAGCAGTCCGGAGTGTGGGGACTGTTTATGACGATAAGATTAGGGTATCTGCAATCTTTAAGTGCAATAGGAAGGGAGGGAAACAGGTCCGCGACGTAGGAAGTGATGAAGGAAGTAGTAAATGCGAGCAGTCCGGAGTGTGGGGACTGTTTATGACGATAAGATTAGGGTATCTGCAATCTTTAAGTGCAATAGGAAGGGAGGGAAACAGGTCCGCGACGTAGGAAGTGATGAAGGAAGTAGTAAATGCGAGCAGTCCGGAGTGTGGGGACAGTTTATGACGATAAGATTAGGGTATCTGCAATCTTTAAGTGCAATAGGAAGGGAGGGAAACAGGTCCGCGACGTAGGAAGTGATGAAGGAAGTAGTAAATGCGAGCAGTCCGGAGTGTGGGGACTGTTTATGACGATAAGATTAGGGTATCTGCAATCCTAAAATGCTATGGGAAGGGAGGAAAACAGGTCCGCGACGTAGGAAGTGGTGAAGGAAGTAGTATAGGCAATCATAAAATGCTATGGGAATAGAGGGAAACAGGTCCGTGACGTAGGAAGTGATGAAGGAAGTAGTAAATGCGAGCAGTCCGGAGTGTGGGGACTGTTTATGACGATAAGATTAGGGTATCTGCAATCCTAAAATGCTATGGGAAGGGAGGAAAACAGGTCCGCGACGTAGGAAGTGGTGAAGGAAGTAGTCAAGGCGAGTAGTCCGGAGTGCGGGAACTGTTTATGACGATTAGAATAAGGTATCTGCAATCTTTAAGTGCAATAGGAAGGGAGGGAAACAGGTCCGCGACGTAGGAAGTGGTGAAGGAAGTAGTCAAGGCGAGCTGTCAGGAGTGAGGGAACTGTTTATGGCGATTAGATAAGGGTATGGGCAATCCTAAAATGCTATGGGAAGGGAGGGAAACAGGTCCGTGACGTAAGAAGTGGTGAAGGAAGTAGTCAAGGCGAGCTGTCTGGAGCGTGGGAACTGTTTATGAAGATTAGATTTAGGTATTTGCAATTCTAAAATGCTATGGAAAGGGAGGAAAATAGGTCCGCGACGTAGGAAGTGGTGAAGGAAGTAGTCAAGGCGAGTAGTCCGGAGTGCGGGAAATGTTTATGACGATTAGAATAAGGTATCTGCAATCTTTAAGTGCAATAGGAAGGGAGGGAAACAGGTCCGCGACGTAGGAAGTGATGAAGGAAGTAGTAAATGCGAGCAGTCCGGAGTGTGGGGACTGTTTATGACGATAAGATTAGGGTATCTGCAATCTTTAAGTGCAATAGGAAGGGAGGGAAACAGGTCCGCGACGTAGGAAGTGATGAAGGAAGTAGTAAATGCGAGCAGTCCGGAGTGTGGGGACTGTTTATGACGATAAGATTAGGGTATCTGCAATCTTTAAGTGCAATAGGAAGGGAG